ATGTCTAAGATTAAAAAAAAAACAAAAAATGATAAGTGCTGGAGGGGGTGTGGTGAAAAGGGAACTCTCTTACACTGCTGGTGGGATTGTAAATTGGTCCAACCACTGTGGAGAACAATTTGGAGATTCCTCCAAAATCTACAGATAGAACTACCATATGATCCAGCAATCCCACTCCTTGGTATCTACCCGAAGGACAGAAGAATACTTAATCAAAAAAGTGCTTGCACATCGATGTTTATTGCGGCACTTTTCACGATTGCTAAGTCATGGAAACAACCTAAATGCCCACGAACTGATGAATGGTTAGAAAAACTGTGGCACATATACTCAATGGAATACTACTCATCCATAAAAAACAACAAAACCCTGGCTTTTGAAAGGAAGTGGATGAATATGGAAGACTCACTGCTGAGTGAAGCAAGCCATGCTATGAAGGAGAGGCATTGTATGTCCCTACTTAATATATACCGAGTGTCTGCATTCTAATATATATATTTGAAACCATACTGCTTCTGTTGTTATAGAGCTATAAAATTATACAAAATTATAAGACATATTTTGAACATTATCTTTAAAATTCAGTATTTTTAAATTTTGAAAGTTGTTTGTAAACTGTCAAGAATTATGGAGTATGAACTAAAATTTTTTGCTATGTAAAGTAAATGTTTGTGGAAAAACATAAAAATAAATAAATGAAAGAAAAAAAAATGTACTACCAAGGAGGCACTTGACTCCTAGACAACTAATGGTTAGTCATTTTAACATCTATTGATTTCCTTATTTTTATAATTATAGCTTCCAATTCATGAACTTAGCAGGTGTTTACATTGTGTTCAATGCTTCACACACTTAGCTCACTTAGCATTTTACAAGCACAACTACCTACTTAGAGTAAGTGCTGTAAAAATTGATGTTCTTCAGATATGGAAGCAGAGAGCAGTTCAGTATTTTTGCCCTGTTACACTAAAGATAGAAAATTCTAGAATGATTTTCAACTCAGATCTATCTGATCCCTCACCTCTAACAACTATTGCATCATGAAACCGAGCATCATTATGAATGTGAATGTTTTCATTGTCTCCTCATCACAGAGGAGTTTTTGCGAAACTAAGAAAATTTTGTGGGATATTGATAACAGAAAGAAAAAGTGATGTTACTGCAGAGGTAAGAGTGGAATTTTTGAGGGAACAACCAGGTGTTTACCTAATAGCCTGTAGATGTTGGCCACACTTTCACTTTTGTGACATGGGAACCATGGGACAGAGAGGAAGCATTTTTTCACAAGATCAATTCTCTTTTTGTTTGGCAGAGTAATAACAGGCACAATAATGATGCCTCTCAGAAGCAAAAGGCTGATTCTTGGAGTGGAAAAATGGACTCTGTGCTTTGAAGCTGTTCTGATTACAGTTGGTGGGGGTTGAAGCCCTTCTTACTTATACTTTCTCCTTCATTCTCCAATGTCAAATAGCGTTGCCCAAACCCAAGATCTGCCACCTCTTATTCTCAGATGTGGCTATCATCATTTAGCTGAGCAGGGTAATCACTGAAAAGAAAATTTTGAGCTCTGTCAAATTATATAAGGCAATCACCTTCACACTCAGAAAAACAATGTACCATGCACCATGGTTGATGACTACAGTCTTAATCTTAATGGAAGGCCTTGAATCAGTATGTAATTGGACATGCACCAGACCAAATAAGAGAATATGATAGCTTGAAAAAGACAGTTTGGAACCCTAGCCCTTCCAATAAGGGCTTCTGTAGTCAAGTCTTTTTTAAAAAAAGATCACACACTATTTTTTATTATTACTACTGTAAATGGTCCAGAGTATACACTCAATGTTTGTTAAATGAATATCAGAAGTACTTTTTTGGTGTTCATTTATCACCTGAGACCACTGTTTTGCGAGGTTCTTTCCTCCTCTGAAGAGTAGGTCAAACAGAGATGCAGGGAGTTGGAAAAAGACATGAAGTGCTCATATCATGTTGTTTATTGACTGAGTTCAGAGTGAGTTTAAAGAGTTCTAATACCACTCACAGAGCATGTCCTCCTTCTTGGAGTTCACAGCACAGAGGTGAGGCGAATTGAGCCAAGGCTAAACCAGACCAAGGCCACCAGGGCTGAGCGAGCTGAACCAAGGCA